CCCAGCCGTATTGGCTAAAAATATTTCAAACGAGATGAACATTTTATTAGTGATTTCCCCCCCCTCCCCCCCCCCCGCTGCAGTCGTCTGAGCTTGATTTATTCGTGACGCGAGCCATTAATTTCACAGCAATTTTATGAACACCACTGAACATCGGCACATGAAGCTGCATCCACTGCCAAATGTGATTAAAAAGCCCTCGATATATTAGACTGTGGACACACGAGCACACCGTGAGAGCCCAGCCGCCACAAAGCTGGGGCAGAGTAGAATTTCTGAAAATTAATTTAGCAATTTTTTTTTTTATTTTGCAAAGCTTTTTCAAACGTTGCACTATGAAAAAAATGTACAACTACCACAATCGGTTCACGTTGAGCTCGCAAACGAGCAATTTCCACCTCGCAGAAATGCCTCAAAATGATTTATGTTTTTTGCATAGCCGTCTCAGATTTAATGCACTTTTTGTTGCTGTTTTTAAAATAAATCCGCGAGGGCATGGAGTCAAATCGCCAAGCGCGCTGGTCTAAAATACCGGGGGCATTCCTCCGAATGTAACCTTCAAGGCGAAGCCTCTTCCCCCTGAATGGCTATTTCGCTGACACTGCTGGTCACTGTTGCTAGGGCAACGCGTGCACATACTCCCTAGAAATATATTTATTCTTTAATATGCAACATTCAGAAATTATAATGGCATCTCAAAGCATGAAGAGGGGCCGTGCAGTGAAATTGAATTACAGCTCTAATGCTGTTACAGCAATATATATTTTTTTCTAAATTAGAGACATAACACGATTATTCCACTGCCAAGGAGCCACATTCAAGTGTCACGCTCACAGCTGACACCGCTCAGAGAGAGGGGGAAACAAAAAAAACATTGGATTATTTTGAATGGGAAGCATAAATTCAGGACGATAATTATAGTATGAGATTATTCATCCACGAGATTTATACCACAGCTTGAGCAGAACAACACTGGATCAAGTGCTGACGAGCAGTCTCAATCAGAACTTAGCCCCTTTCTGTTGCCTACGAAATGAGGTGGTGGTTCTTTCCCTGGCAGTGTTTAAGGCACTGGTGTGTTAAGACACCTATTACGCAGGTGTTTTAAGACACCTGCCACCTTGTACTTACTATTCACCAAACAATTAATAGAAATCAACGCGTGCCAACTTAAGAAAATACGTGTTATTGAAAGACTACATTGTACAAGCTGCCACAAACTATAAATCACATTCTCTTATTGTTCTGAAAATGCCCATAAGCCAAAACATTGGCTAATTTATTTTTGACTTAAGACACTGCAATTTAATGATGAACAAAGGTTAATTACTTGAAATATGCCTGCTCCCAATTCAGTTGCCAAAACATTACCTCATATTTTACCTCACATATAATAAAAAAATGATTCAATTCAGAAATATGAAACGGTATTACACAGTAACTACTTTAACAACAGTAATAAAATCATAATTGTGCAACCAATGTCAAGCAATTATGATTTATGCCACTAAACAAACGTGTAATAAAAAAATGACCAAGAGAGAACAAACTAAATGTAAAAGATGGCACATTAATGTTTTATAAAACTTGAAGGTAACAAAAGCAGCTAACAGAGCTTTTGCCACTAAATTTAAATCCCTCTGTCGCTCAACAACAGGAGAGAGTTTGCACCAAACATAGCAATGAACCACTAACTGGGACATTTTCGAATTTTTCTGTAATTATCTTGAGGTTAGCAGTTTGTAAAGTAGAGCTGGGACGATTAGCCAAATCAGGCAAATAACTGATCAATAATTATGACAGGCTACTTTTTTTTGCGGTCGATTACTCGGATGAACTTTAAAAAGATATCAAACGGAGGGTGCCCCAATGTCCATGGATTTTCTGTTTGCACAGTCACATAGTCACTTTCAGATGTTTTTCTTGTTCGTGTTTTTGTTTTTTGTTGTGGTTGCACCCGATTCAAGAGCCGAATGGCTCACAGGGCTATACCAAAATAAACTGAACTGAAGGCAGGAAACCCCCCACAAGCCACGCTCAGCGTGACGACGCTGATGACGTTCCCAGGCCCCGCCCACCACCTCCCATCCACCAACTTGCGTGGGAACAGAATTGAGTCTTTTTGTTACACGCTTTTATTTACCTCTTGTTTGTTGTTGTATCCTCAAATCTTGTAACTCAATTTGTACCCACTTCCCAATGTGCTATCGACTGCAAACTTGGTATACTTATGTCATACTGATGACAATACTACATTCTATCGTAAAAAATGAAATATTTTTAAACAATCTTTTTATTACACGCTTTCTATTAACTCACCGTCTGTTGTTGTCGTATCTTCAAATCTTGTAACTCAATTTGTACCCACTTCCCAATGTGCTATCGACTGCAGACTCGGTATACTTATGGCATACTGATGACAATACTCTATTCATTAAAGCGTGGTTTTTTTTAAAATAATTTTTAAATATTACTTATTTTTAACTTACTTTCACGTTATTCAACTAGTCGAGGAATCAAACTGATAATCATAAGAGTCAATCGATTACTTAAATGAACGGAATACCCAGATTTTCTCAAGTGTCAATCAGTCAAAATGATTTGATTTGCCCTTGGTATACCAGGTTGAGAGAGAAAAACAAGTTTAAGCAAACCAAGGCCGTAGCCATGGAGTCAACATTGGGGGGGACCAAATCTTCCAGGGGGTCTGGGGGTCCACCCCCAGAAAAAAAATCTAAATTCGAAAACTAATTTCCTGCCATTTCCTGCCTAAAATATTTTAAAAAATTCACTAAGTCCATAGGATGGCCTTTATTTTTTACAATAATGTCTAATAGTGTTATTGTATTACATTGCTCTGTTTTTTCTTTTTTACCTTTTCTTGTTTCATTGTATGTAATGGCAGAGATTAGGGATTAATAAAGTACAACCATAACCGCAATCATATGAACAGAAATCTATTTTATATCAATATATTATAATTACGGCCTTGAAGCAAACAATGTAACCCTGGAGGTAACGCGAGTAACATATGCCCAGGTCGTACCGTGGTGCACTGTCATACGTTAAATAGGGTCTCTCACCGTTCACTTGCTGGAACATGTGATTGCGATTTACAGCCCAGGACACGGGTTCAGATGTCGCTCACCACTGAATGTTAGCTGTGACTGGGAGTAGAACTCGGATCGTCAGGTTCACAGGGGAGAGCACTAACCACTGCACCACTGCTCCGTCCCCTCGTTAGGTCGCACCGGTGCAAAGGGGGCGTCCATAAATGACGTCACACGATTTTGGACGATTTTTGACCCCCCCCCCCATCTCCCATTCGTCACACGGCGTCACAAAAAGTCAGACCCCTCCCCCCTCAAATATGACGTCACAAAGCTCTGCCCCCCCCCCCCTCAAAATAAAACATGCTTCAAATCGCTTTAAACTGTTGTCATTGTAGTGCGTATTTAATGTGCCGCTGCACTCTGATGTTGTAGGAGAAAACATTTATTAAAAAGTTAATTTAATTAAGTATAACGCGTTGTCTATATTTATTTAAAGTCGCGCATTTTGATGTGACGTCACATTTCTCACCCCCTCCCCCCGCCTCGTCACACATCGTCACAAATGTCTGACCCCTCGCCCCCCCCCCCCCGCCAGGTGCGTGACGTCATTTATGGACGGCCCCCTAACACGTGCACCGTTGCGGCGCTGTCCCATCTCACGCGATGTATCGGAGCAGCATTTGTGGGGTGAAAGGAGCTGAACGGAACCCATCTCGATTCAACTGACAAAATGGAAGCACTTGTGGAGGAGGGAGTGGAGCAAGGTCAAGGTTCAGATATGGGATGGGGAGGGGGAAAAAACCTGAAACGCCGTTGTAGTTATTTTGTGGCCATTAAAGCATCTCTCAATGATCAATATGTAATTGATTCGTGATAATCACGGGAACAATTTGTGGCCTAATTACAACAAACCGTGCTCGGCGAGGATTAACTTTAATTCTACTGCCCGTCCGGCGTCCCAAGCAGTCAATCAGCGGAGCCTGATGCGACAAGAGTCTGAGCTGTAGACATTTGTCCGTGTTTTAGTTTTTTGTTTGTTTGTTGTGATTGCACCCGATTCAAGAGCCGAATGGCTCACAGGGCTATACCAAATAAATCAACTGAAACTGGAACATTTCAACATGGTACGGGGTTCAAGCTGATGCTGGATCCATCGCAGAAAGCAGATTCTGCTCGACATTCACCAGGGGATGCTCGTCACACACATCCGTTATGCACCACATTCAAATCAGGTATTTAAAAACCGCAGCACGTAAGTGAAACTGTTTTGCTTGATTGAACACATCAATACAGGTTGACATACTGTGCTGATAATACTGAGGTAAAATGTGAGATTGTTGAATAAATTAAGTGCCAGACTTGGCCTTGATTTATTGATTGCAAATCGTTTAGCCAAAGAAATCGACTGCAATGTAATACAATTTAAAACGAGGCACATTTAACATCGTATTTCATTTCGTTCATAAATACTGAGACAAGGGAAGGAATAATACATTGCTTGAAAGTTTATTAAAAATAAAAATAAAATCATATTTCAAATAATGATGGTGATTTTTTACAATAGTCTCGACCATGCTGCTTAGGTGGCCTTGCAATCGATCTCCTGGCGTGGCAGCTGAAACAATGGAGCAAGTTTGGAAGAGTAGACCAAAACGTCCTTTCTGCAGGGCTCTAGAGCTTTCTCTATCAGAGGCCCTCCAGACAGCAGTGGCACCAGCGAGTAATTGCAGGGCTGCACCTTTACCACCTTTGGACTAAGCTTCTTTAACAACGTCATATTCATTTAGTTGCTGAGTACAAAAAAAAGGAATGCAATAGCACATCATTTATAACGCTTGCTCGGTGTTTCATTGGCAAGTAATACATCAAATAAACTACGGAAGTTTTTTTTCGTCTCTTTCTCTCTCTCAACCAGCTGTGTTTTCGAGAATGAGCACCGTTGCCTACCTTCTGCGAGCTTCGCAGATTGCTCAGCGGCGCCTCCTGGCAGGATCTTGCTGATGTACGCGCCGATCTCCCCGTCTCTTCCCGGAACCTCTTTCCCACCAACGACTCGGACGCCAAGTCCGTTCCCTGCACGCAGAGCAGCTTGCTTCCTTAGCAAGACAGCCAAACCTCCAGCAGGCGATGCATGCTGATGACATATGAGTAACTCTCTCTTGAGTTTTCATGCATAAAACGCATTGCACCTGGCAGGTCCACAAACTTACAGCCAGGTGTCCTGCAATGAATTCTTAAGATAGTGCATTTGTATTCTTGCATAATCAAAGCTAACATTAAAGAAGGCATTGATTTAAGCGTATCTACAAAGTATCGTCTGCGTGACAGCTTGAAACCAGGCTTAGTTGCCAGGGGGCAGACTGTACAGCTGTATAGCTTTTTTTTGTAAAATGTATGTATTATGCAGTCAAATATGCCACGTCTAATATTCTCATAGCAGATCTTCCTGCACTGCATTCAGCCTTGCATTACAATTCCTTCAGTCATTTATGGTTCGCGGGGGTGGGGGGGGGGGCCAAAAAAGGTGTTATTTGCTAATTTTGCAAAAGTAATTACCAGCAGACAGATCTTCATTCGAGTTAATGGGTGGATGCAATATGGGACAATAATTGCGTGGTGCCAACAAAAATATAGCGTGGAGTACATGGCAATGACTTCTTGAGCAGCAACACAGCTGCCAGGGCCCATTTACTGCCATCCCATAAGCTGTGCTAAAAAAATGGGATTTGTTCCGCTGCCTCTTTCTGCTTGGGTATATAAATCTGGCCCCGGAGTGCTTAAACAACAACAAAACAAGAGCAAAAAAACAAGACTTATATGCTGTGATCACAATTGTAGCATATTATGCATTATGTATTTTAGACAATGTTTTGCTGCCTTGAAAAGAAAATGTGGACACAAGGCTATGTTTTGGGTTATGGCCCTTCTTCACAGCACATAGGGTGGCCAGTGCTGTGAAAAAGAGCCATTAGGTGATTGCTCACAATCTAGAGTATTATATGTTTTCTATTTAAGGCAGTGTTATTGATGAATGTGTTGAGTTTTTGTTTATGTAACATTATATACTGTTAGGGCAAGGGCTGTAAGCGAATACCTATTAATGCCAGTGTGAGGCACACGCAGGTTATTTGGCCAGCACCATAACTTTCTGTCTTTTGACTTCCAACTGCTGACATTTGCGCACCATCCCGGGTACTCATTCATAGCTTAAGTGACTTAGCAGAGGCCCATGACAGTTTGAGATTTTATTCACGGCAGGGAATCAAACCCAGGTCACCAGGGACATAACCACTGCATCACCGCTCGCTGCCATGCGCCAAGCTGTGGCTCATCACCGCTATTTAGAACAACAAAAATAAACAATCTCTCCCCGCCGAGCGAAAAATAATTCCAGTTGATGATCGAGGGGTGGCAACGTTACAGCATCGGCTCGTCAGTGGAGGAACGACAGCTGGTCCGAACTGCAGAGTACCCAGGGTCAGCCTCCGGGTCACGGCTAGGAGCAGGACGAGAGCTATAGCCGGGCCCACCTGACATGCTGTGGTCCTTGGCGTCTTGTTGAAGCGGCACTCTGGCGTGCGGGAAGTCGTAGCTCTGCGGGGGGTCGCTGATCTGACAAGGCACATCGTTCAGCACGGCGCGACCGCAGGCAATGGTGGGTTATAGCGTGCGTGCGCGCAGCGACAACGCCGCTACAGCAACGCCCAACAAAGCAAGGGGGATCCAATGCGCCTAACGTGATTCACGTTGCAAGAGTTATAATAATAATAACAATTCAAATGGAGAATGCGCATTCCATCCTAGGATCCCAATGCGCAATGCATGGAAAGCAGAAAACAAAAACAGAACCAGGGCAACCAACCAAACTAAAGAAGGAAGGCCGGTTTAAAGAGATGGGTTTTCAAAGGAGACTTAAATATATCTACCGACTCTGATTTCCTGATTTCAAGTGGCAAGGCGTTCCGCAGCTTTGGGTGCCACGCTAACGAAAACCTGATCGCCAAAAGAGCGCAACCTAGATGGCATTAATGAACAATCAGTTATATAATGCACGTGTGTTACATAATACGTGTGCGTGTGGGTTATATGTAGGGCCCAAATGTTTCATGTGATAATTGTGATAATTTACAGAGCATTTTCAGTAAACTGTACTGCTGGGTGGACGAATGCCTCCCGATGCCATGCAGTTCATTGGGGGTCATTTGAATATACTTCACCACGCAGGTCAACGCACATTGAAGGGAGGGGGAACTGATAGGATTCAGTTGAATTTATTAGGTATAACCCTGTGAGCCATGCGGCTCTTGACTCTGGTGCAACCGAGGATTGGTTTAGGTATAGGATTGGTTTAGATATCAGCTGTGGCCAGGAATCAAATTAAAATTGTTGGGTTCATACCACAGCGCAAACCATTTATACATTTTAGTTTCTGTATATATATACACATATATATTTTCTTTGCAAGATCATAAGGGATGGCGACGGCTTCGGGACGCCTTCATCCAGCAGGTGATAAATCATGGCTGATGATGATTTATATACACGTGTGCATATTTAGTCAGGGAACACAATTGACGTGCAAACATCAACTTAAATGTCGTTTCTAAAGTATTTTTTAAAATTGTTTTTACCAGGTCAGGCTTACTGGGCTTTATAGCTTTTTTCAGAAGCGACCTGGCCAAAAATGAGTGCTGAACGAATTGGCCTATCATGTGGAATTGTACAGCAACCAAAGTTTAAAGCTTCTCATTTTCCCCGCCCATCTATTGGTGGGCTTTATCAGTCTCATCACATTTCACGAAAGTGAAAACAGCTCAGGTGGCCCCTTCGTATAGGGGTGCACATGCTCATCAAGTCCCAACTTTAACCTGGGTTTACCCACCGCACTGACCATGTAGGCTCAATATAGGTCCAATATTGATGTCGTGTGAGATTGTGGTAACAAAGCTGCTGTACACTGTGTACGCAGAGGTGGTCAATTTCAATGAGAATTGATCTTTATTGTTGATGAAATTCAAATTACATTCCCAATAGATTTTTATGGCAGAATTTTTTTTTCTTCTTCAAGCGATCGACTTTCGCTTGGCAACTCTTCTGGGCTCAGTGCTGATTTCGGAGCTTATTCTCTGAGGAGTCAGCACCAGCGCCAGTCTACAGCCCACACGAGACTTCCTCCTAAGCAGGGTTAGTTACTGCGGTAGGCACCATGAGGTCTGCTGGGCACAAACGCTCGCTGTACTTACCTGCAAGGGGTGGTATCCTCCATGCTTGCTTTTGGAGTGATCTTCATGGAAGGAGTCGCGAGGTTTATCGAACCAATTCGTGTCTTCACGCCTCAAGTGGTATGCTTTAAAAAGTCAAAACGGAGCTTTGGGGTAAGTGGGGGTGGGGGGCACGGTCCTCTGTAACGGAGCCACGTCGCGCGAGCACACGCAAAACGGACACCTCCAATCTGGTGAGTGCTCGCATGCAGATCCATGGCATGATTGGTTCATGCAAAAATCCATGGCCCGGAAAACAAAATGTGCATGTTTGTATATAAAAGAACATGCAAAAGAATAGAGAGAAACAAAAATAAAGTGGTGTAAAGACACGTTTTCAAGTATATATTTTTTTAAATACAAGAGAAAAACATCTGCAGCACGAATGATCGTGTTTTTTTCTTCAGTCCGTGCAATTCTTGCATTTCATACGAGGTAGCTTGTGTTTTGTTCTCAAATCGAATGAAAGTTTGTCCAAAGTAATTTCGCTGTAGTCATGCGTAACTAAACGTTGCACACACGCCGATCCGCAGACGTGTCGAGGAGGTGCATGCAGTCCAGCAGCAAAACAGGAAGAAGAAAAAAGAAGCAAAACACAGAGAAAGTTAAAAAAAAAGCACATCCAGGGTGGCATTTGAAGCAGTCGCCGACCCATCCGCGTGCATCCGTGCCCTCGGGCGTCAGAGCACGGCGCACACATATTCCCCCCGCTCAGTTACCTTCGCTGTCCGACATGGCGTGCTGCAGGTCGTCCAGGATGTACGCCACGTCGCGGTCGTAGCTACGCCGGTGCAGCTCCTTGATGTGCTGCTGCACTTCGGGCAGCGAGTGGCTTGAGCCGAACTGCTCGCGCGTGTCGGCCGAGATGGGCGGCAGGGGCCCCGCGGCCGCCCGCGCCATGCCCATGGGCTGGCCCACGGGACTCAGAGGGCTCTCCTCCTCCGAGTTCTGGGCCACGATGGGGATCCTCCCCTTGCTTTGGCTGATGATGAGATTGGGCGGCTTGCACCTCAGTTTGACCCCGGCGGCTCCCGGCACGTACGAGCTCATGTCCAGCGCGTCGCCATCTTTGGCCGCCGTCGTCGCCGCGGCCTGCAGCTCGTGCTTAGTCATGGTCAGGTCGAGCCCGTGAACCGACGATGGCCGGGAGCGGGTCAGCTCGATGCCGTACACGGACGAGGGCCGGGAACCGGCGCCTTCCATCCTGTAAATGGACGATGGCCTCGATTTACTGCAGTCGAGCCCGTAGACGGACGTCGGCCTGGATCTGCCGCTGTCCATACCGTACACAGACGAGGGTCTCGACCTGCTGTCCTCCAGGCCGTATGCAGACGTGGGCCTTGAGCGGGTGCTCTCCATGCTGTAGACTGAAGCGGGCCGAGACCTTGTGATGTCCAGACCATAAACGGACGACGGTCGCGATCGGCTGCTTTCGAGGCTGTACACCGACCTTGGCCGAGAGCGAGTGCCGGTGCCGCTCAATAAGTCGAGCTCGTTCGTGTGCCCCCTCGTCGTGAGCACCGAGAGCTTCTGCTGCTCCTGGATATTCTTCCTGAGGCCGTACGTGATGTCTCCCTGCAGCTTCTTGGCTCGCATCACGACGGTGGACGCCGCCTCCGTGGCCGGAGTCGTGGTTAAGTAGGAGGGAAATTCAGACTCGACGTCTTTGGCTTCCTCAATTGGAGAGAACTTGGAGACCCTGTGCTCGACGCCCAGCTTTCTGGATTTCAGCTGCTTGTTCGAAACAACGGCCGGCATCAGCTGCTTCGCCGCTTCCTTTTCCAACGTGATCCTCCCGATGCTGTAGCGATCTGACTTCGAGGGGTGCCTGTATTTCACGTCGCCATGGTAGAGCGTGGCGGTTCCCAAGTGATCCAGGGGGTCGGACCCCCTCTGAAACTCCTGCTTAATCTGCTGCTTCAACAGCTTGAGCTCGTAGGGATCTTTCATCGACTCGTCGTCGATCTTCCTGTGCATGTGTGACCTCGGCGTGCTCGAAGTGCTCATGTAGTCGCTGATGTCCGACATCCTCTTTGGGTCCCTGGAGTGATGGTAGCGACGCTCCACTCTGTGCGTGCCCCCCAAGCTGAACGTGCCCCCGATGGCCGCGCCTTTCGTGAGCTCGTTAATGTCATCGATCATCACGTAGTTGCGCGCCGCCTGGTGCTCGAGATCTGCGTAGAATGACTCAGCGGAAATGCTCGACATAGGGCTGCTGGCCATGCTTCCCCTCTCCTCCAGCGCCAGCCGAAGGTCAAGGTTGTCGTACATCTCGACCGCCGACGTGGGCGACATCAGCAGAGGGTGGCTCTGCTGCAGCAACTCGTAGTTGGCCTTCAGCTTGGGGTCCAAGTTGATCAGCTGGGAATGCCGGGGCTTCTGCGCGAAGTGCGGCTGGTGGTGCGGATGCATCGTGTGGCCCTGCGCATAGTAGGACGTGCCCGGCGTGGCTTGATACCCGGGCTGCGGGCCCGTGGCCATCTGGAAGCTCGTCGTGTGGTAGGGAGCGTGATGGCTTCCCAATGTCGGGTAGGTGGTGGTCAGGTAATCTGCCTGGTGGCTGGGCATCGGCTGGAAACTTGTGGCCTGATAACCAGCTAGGTGGCCGCCCAAGGTAGGGAAAGGGGTGGTCTGATAGCCCGACTGGTGCATCGGCAGGGTTTGGTAGCTGGTGGTCTGATACCCGGCCTGCGTTGTGGAAATGGTCTGGTGGCTCGTCGTCTGGTATGCGGGGCGGTGCGCTTCCAACGTGCTGTAGCCTGCGGCCTGGGACCGATAGGGGAGCGGCTGAGTCTGATAAAGCGGCTGCGGCTGGTAGGGCGCCTGCTGCAGGTACGAATTACTCGGCTGCGTGGTGGCGCCGGCGGTGTGCGAGAACTCGATGTTGAGCGAGTGGCGTGTGTTCGGAGCTAGGTACTGGGCGTACTGGTGCTGCGGCGCCGTCCTCGGCCGCTCGCCCTGGCGGCCGCCCTCCGCCACGGTCCCACGGATGTTGCTGACCTCGCTGTCGGACATGTAGTCGCGGTCCTCGGCGACGCCCCGCAGGTAGGCCCTCTCCCTCTTCTCGCGCTCCTTCAGCAGGGCGTCCTTCCGCCGGTTGATACCCATCTCGAGGTAGCGCAGCTTGGCGTCGATCTCCTTCTCCTCCTCGTCCAGCTCCGCCTGCCTCTTGCGCAGCTTCGACGACTCCTTCTCCACAATCTCGAGCTCCCGGTCGATGTCCTGGATGAGCTTGGCACGGGCCATGGTGCTCGTGCGCCCGATTCGCTTGCGCGGGATGGACGCGACGAACGAGAGCGAGTTTGCGGAGCTGGGTGCTGGCGCGTCCTCCGGAGGGGGGTTGGGCAGCGTCCGCTTCACTTTCTTGCTCTGGGCCAGGGCCGCCGCCGCCGTCGATTGCTGCGTGGGTTTGATCTGGAATGAAACGGGGCGTTTGTTCACAAGAGCGCGGCGTGCGACGTGAGGGCACAATTAACACTGCACACCGCTCCAGGATTCCTCTCGCCGGAAACGGTTCAACGGCTAACGAGGGTCGGGTTCGGTGGCACATGACGATAATCCGTCTCTACGGAGATGCGGTCGGGGAATCGTGCTGTGATCATGCGCGCAATACGCCCGATCTGGAGCAGCGTGTTATCAAATGCAGGAGGCAGCGGAGCAAATACGTTGCCGACCTATTTGATCGCTGCCGAATTTATTTATTTGGTTTTTCTCCTTCCTGTGCACGCATGGGTTATTTCAAAGTATTTCAGTTTCATACCACACACCTCGTTAAATTGGGTCACATCCCACAGAGCAGCCTCACGATAAAATATTGATGCTCAGCGAAATTTCCTTGGATAATTATAGCTGCTATACCTACATTAATTGTGAAACTCCGTAGTGGTGTTTCTCTCGTGGAATTATCTCACTGGCCATTCAATACCTCCAGAATTTCCTGTCATTACCCTGATGTAGCCATTGCCTACTCCAACTATAAACTGTTGCTCAATACGCCCGGTAGATTTCAATGACACGCAGCAATGCACATTTAAAATTGACACTGTAAGAATTATTTTTCACCACGTATCGCCATTAACTTGTGGCTGAGCCAATTTCTTCCAACAGCAGTCACCATTAAACTAACATGTGCACCATGATTAATTTATTTTCATTGCAGTACTCTGATAGAGTAAATGAACCATAAAATGAACCAACTTTCTATAGTTTAAAAAAAAATAAGTCCAACAAATTGCCAAAAGTTATATTATTGTAGATAGCAGAACGTGCACACTCTCACTGCATTTGTTATTGGTAACTGAGATCAAAGTGCAAAAGTGTGAAGTAAATAAAAACGTCTTTCCTCCTGTGTATTAAATAGAAATGATTAATTATAGCGCTTACTGCAAAACCGTTGAGCATTCTGCCAGCTACCTGTCGGAACCATGGAGTTGTAATCTCGGATATTTTACAGCAATTGGTTTTTTGAGGCAAAACATGAAATCATTTAGACTCCAGGTCACAATCACCATTGATTTTTCGAGAAAACAAATATATTCTAAACCAATCAATATCCTGTCTGCATTCGATCAGTGCTTATTAAGCCCTTTTTAATTTACAGGTGCTACAAACCGACCTTGCTGTCATTGAGCACGTACACGGTCGTTGATTAAATGCAATTCATACGAGTTAGTGCACTTCAAAGCTTCATTGTCGTCTTCATTAGATATGTTATGTTATCTTTACAGCGTCATGGAACACAGTTTTAAAACCTGACAATATCTTTTCAAACCTGTTCTCTCACCATAAAATGCGTTTTTAGTCATTAAGAAAAGGCACAAAATCTTGAATCTCACATAGAAAGTCAATCTTCAGGTGGTATAAGCCCACAGCAGGCGACAATCAGCCAATGTGATCATCTGATCCGACCAGTTACTGCAAGATCCGACCACGTCTGTCCAGTGCTCGCTGAGCTGCATTGGCTTATGGTTGCTGAACAAATAGGTTATAAGGTTGCACCCATGACCCATTAAGTGCTTGCCACAAATGAACCACGATACCGTGTTGATCTCATCAATGAGCAGACACCGTCACACAAACTCCGGTCATCCTCGCAGCAGCGTCCTTTGGCTCGCCGTCGAACAAAGACGCTCACTGCATCGTGCGCATTCAGATGAGCTTCTGCGACCATCTGGAACGCTCTTCCTTCCGATATTAGGAAGCCACTGGAGCTATGACCTTTTAAATCATCATCTAGATTGAAAACGAATTTCTTTAGAACTGCTTTTTTTGTGTTTAATTTGTTGCCCTTCCCCCGCACCTCCGATTAGCACAGTTGGCTACGTACGGTGCCAAAGAAGTTCAACGTACATATGTACATGATCTATCCACTGCTAAATGAAGACCTCCCCAAGCTGTCGTCATCCCCCATGATCGCGCGATGTAACAATCCGTTTAGTCCCTGCACACGCACAAGCTGTTGTCAGCACTCTCAGGTGCTATGAAGAAGGGCCATAGCTCAAAACGTTGCCAATTTTATATATCTATTTCTTTTCCGGCCGCAGTGTTATTGATAAAATGTGTTGAGTTTATTGGGATATGGTAATTTTTCGTGCAGCATTTGATGGTAAGCCAATATTCACCTTTCAAGCAGCTGCACCACAGCTAACTCCGCCACTAAACAGGCCTTCCAAGATCAGTGCCTGTCCCCGCTTCAATATGTGCGCTAGTTAATGCACCCCACGCTTACATCCACCAACATTATTTTCACTCTGACTGAATTACATTTACAACACAATTTGGGTTTGGATGCATCCAGTTACCTTTTAGCGAGATCCTGATGGATGGGCGGCATCTGATCATGTTCAATTATTTGTAAATGCAGGCGAATTTTACTTTCATTCTCTGCACGTGCGTGCCTCTGACAGAAAATAAGCAACCAGCATATTTAAGAGCGCTCACTTATAGCGCTGCCCATTGTTGCTCCGAATAACAACGCCACCAATATGTATGTCAGTGGCAGCTGTCACTAGAACTGCCGCATATTAAAATGAAAATATCTATTAAAAAAAACTTTTGACTTACAGCTCGAAGTACTGAAAGGATTCGTAATGGAATCCCTCTTTGCATTGTGATATTATAATTGCAGCTCAAGTCGTGGACGAGGTTGCGTCTGAACAGAGAAGGCCACTTAATGTGCAGGAATTATAAGGTCCTGCTGCGTGCATCAATGTGAAAAATAAGTGTCAGTGTGCCCGTATGGTTTGCCAGGCAGAGGTGAAACAAACATCCTTCAATATTTTCATCAGAGAGAAATGCAATTGAGGCTTTCAGGCAGCGCAGTCGGTTCTGCCCAAGATTGGCGCTGCATTAAACCGAACTAAACCAGGGCACGTGTCATAAGTATGGTCTCCCTACCTTCATCTCTCTCTCTCTCTAAGAGTAATTATAGCTTCCATGAACCCATCCCAGATGCAGGCAATAACAGTGCCACAGCCAAAGGAAATACATTCACACATACCTAATGCAAACAATAAAAATGCAAAGCATTCTTATTTGCAGGCCAAAGTGCAAAAAAACCCAATTCACCATGTCCACCACCACTACTGGCTTCTGTCTTACATTGGCTGGTTATGTACGGTGCAAAAGAAGTTCAACATACATATATATTCGTCTGTTGTGGAGGGGCGGTGCAGTTGTTCGCCTCACTGCGCTGCAAATCCAGTGATCTAAGTTGTATTTTTGGCCATGGCTGACATCAGTGACGAGTGATATCGTGAGAACCCCTCCACACCATCACCACCTCTTCAGAAAACCTGCACTGACTAACGCCCATGACCGACAAGGCGTGGGGAGGCCTGCACACAGTGAAATGACTTTATAATCTTAATCATATTATTATGGTGAGGCAGTGTTCGTGTCACATAGTCTAAATGAACCGAAAACCGGAACTAGAAACTGGAGTTAACTACTGTACTTATTTTCATGGATTGAAACCAAAAAGCTACTCTCTCCATATGTCCGTTTGTCTCACGGAATCTCAATTCGTCTCTCTGTAGCTCTGTCTCAGTAACTCGCAACACACAGAAATGTTTTTTTTGGGTTAGATCGTGTAAATATATAAGTGTGTTGTTAAAACCCGCCACCACCCGACACAGCCAACTAGTAAGGGTTGTCACGTAAACAGAACGTGGCCAATTCGTCACTAGTAACAGCACACCGGTGAGTTGGGGAGCCAAGCCACAACATTTACAATCTGAGTACGACGTTTCGCCAGTAATTACAACTAGCTTCATCAGGCGACAGCCAGATTTGTGGCGGGTTTTAACGACACATTTATATATTTATGCGATCTAACCCAAAAAAAACCCCTCTATTATGGATGATATTGGTCGCGAAAGCCTACGTGTTAAAGACACAGAAATGTGTTTGAAGCAACTAAAACACATCTCTCTCTTTCTGCTTTGCAAATAGACGTTGCACATTGGCAGTGTAGCAATATAAAGGCCTACGATGTAGTCTATATTGTAAAATGCAGCCTGTATTGTAAAATAGAATATGCAGGGGATCATTGTTTAGGCTATAGGGAAGATCTGCGTTTTGCAAAATTTGTTGTTGATATATATTTTTAGCTAATATGCAAATTCAAAGTGATTAAAAACAGTTTTTTTTGCAGGTGGTTAACTATAAGTTAACGTTCTGTGACAGTTTTGAACGGATGGAACAATAATCAGCTCCGTTGGTTTTGGAGTAACCTGAACCATAGCCAAAAATGTGTCTATTCGACTCACCGGTGAGTGATAAATATGGTGAGTTTTTCTTCCCTGGCTGGTGTTCATGCACCACTGCCAATGTTTTTCCTTGTGGGTGCTGTGGTGGCGAGGTGATAACTACCTGCCCTGGTATGCAGGAGGTTGTGGGTTTGATCTCGACCCTGACGCCTGTATATCTGGAGTTTGCATTTTCTCCCCGTGGTCATGTTGATTTCCCTCCGGGTCCTCCAGTTTTTCCCTCCACATTTAGAATCTACATGCGAATTCAAAGCATTTGGCTGCCATACATTTACACATGATAAGTAACTTTGTTGAGCTACCATTTCTGTCCAGGTCGCACCTAAAAAAGAGCTACATAGCTCTGTGGGCCTTACCTGGCAAAAAAAAAGCTGACTTGAGTTTATTTTTTTGCATCCTTATAATAACTACTCTCTTTGTATTCTTGGTTCTTTCGGTAAAGTCACGTTGAAGGGAAACAATAAAATAATAAAAACAATACAATTCCCTTCAACGTGACTTTACCGAAAGAACCAAGAATATGAATCACTTCAGTCACGAAAGCTTCAAATCAAAATTTACTCTCTTTGTATTCATTTTTTACACGAAGCTGCACCATATAAAATATTGAACGTGCCCCAAGTGAGTTTCCGATGTGGAGTGTGT